AAGGAGTCTTTTTAGGAAACAATGACTGAAAGAAAGTAGAACAGGGCAAATAAAAACAAGCTAAGGAAGGGTGTTTTCTCAAATGGAGCCCTGTTTTAGCCTGATCTCGTGGGGAGCTCTGGAAAGTTGTCCCATCATGAAGTAGGGGGTCTGAGCTTTGGGGCCCAATGGCTCAGTCATTCATTGGCTATGTGCTGCCACGGTGGTGGGCACAGCGTGGGGATGACCTCTCAGCCCACTACTGTCATGGGCTCCCATCGGCTCCCATCAGTCAAGGGCGATTCTCCAGAGAAGGTCGCAGCTGTGAGCAACCAGCGTTCACAGCAGCCGGGGGATAGTTAAGCCCACTTGGGAAAGAGGGTCTGGGCAACAGACTGAAGGAGCCTACTACAGGTAACTGGTTCTTGGGGCGTGTGTGTAAACAATTACAGGGCACACCTTTTTGTCTGGGACTTGGTTTTGATGTCTTTGAAACGGGACAACCAGATTGCCTTTTTTTCTAAGGAGTCTACCACTGCTCCGACGCTCTGTAGTTCAGCCGCCTGAGCTCTAACGGCCTTTCCCGCTAACGTGTCTGGGTTTCCCCAAAGGCGTGTCCTGTGGTGGCTGATTAAACAGTCACTGATTATAACTGTTACGCCCGGCTGAGCCTCACCCTGCACGGTAATAGGGATAGCAGGAAAATGCCCTCTCCCCCTCTTCCTAACACCCGCCATGGGCAGCTTGGTGAGCCACTAGGGAGCTGGTGCGGACTTCGATCTTGCTTTCTCTGGGTGAGGCATGAAGGCGTGTGTTCTTAGTGAGGGAAGAAGAGACGTGCAGTCGGGCTGGGTATGAAGAGAGGGGTTCAAGGTCTTGCCAGGGCTGATGAAACCTTTACTGGTTTTCTGACCCGTGTGTACTCCATGCTGCTTCAGATGATGTCAAGGAGGCTCCAGGGAGGGGGACAGACTGGGGTGGCAACTGTTCTCAGCACGCTGCCTTAGGAAAGCCACACGCAGATGGGCTTCTACTCATTTGAGGAAACAGAAGGAAAATAATTCATGGCTTCAGAGCCTGACATTTTTTAGCTTCCCACCTGATATGCCATGTGCACTATATTTGCTGCACTTCCTGGCCCGACTTTCCAAGCTAAAGATTCAGGAATTATACTTGACATTTCCTCCCAGTCTGGGCGGGAGAGACACAGGGAGGCTGCACGCACAGTAGGTCGTCACGTGCCGTGATAAGAATTTACTTCAGTAGCTCTCATGGCACTGTTTTCACCCCCAAGGGAACTGTCCTGAGTCTTACAATACATGTGAGGGGCGGCATTTAAACCAGCGTGTGTGTCTCTGAATGGGGACGCAGTTGCATAGCCTTGGTCTCTGTGTCTCCTAAGGAGAGAAGTCCCCACGTGTGGGGTGGAGGCGGTGTCTAAAAACGGTCACATGGAAAGAGCATCTCACCTCTGCTGGCACTGCCAGTTCTGGCAGTGCCGAGGACATACCATGTGATAGAGGTGGGTGCCACAGGGGGGAGGCGCACAGACTTGGACTACCCACAGGTGTGTCAGGTGAGGTCGGCAGGTTGGGGAGGGAAGGCGGATGATTTGGGACTAGNGAGTCTTACAATACATGTGAGGGGCGGCATTTAAACCAGCGTGTGTGTCTCTGAATGGGGACGCAGTTGCATAGCCTTGGTCTCTGTGTCTCCTAAGGAGAGAAGTCCCCACGTGTGGGGTGGAGGCGGTGTCTAAAAACGGTCACATGGAAAGAGCATCTCACCTCTGCTGGCACTGCCAGTTCTGGCAGTGCCGAGGACATACCATGTGATAGAGGTGGGTGCACAGACTTGGACTACCCACAGGTGTGTCAGGTGAGGTCGGCAGGTTGGGGAGGGAAGGCGGATGATTTGGGACTAGGACATGGGTGAGGCCACCAAGGTATACGTTTTGCTCTCCATGAGGGAGACTGGCTCCAGCTAGAACAGCATCCGTATGCAGGGTGGGCTCAGCATTAGGCTTGGGGCACACAGGGACACTGTCGCCCCCTCATGGTTCTCCCTTGGAGCCCGGCCCAGCAGAGGAGCGGGCCCTGGTGTGCAGAGCACAGCCTCACCCTCCTGGGCGGGTGGGCTTGGCAAGGTTCCGTGCTGTCAGAGCCCACCTGCGGGCTCCAGGTTCCCCAGTGTCGTTGGAAGTTTCAACAGAATGCATGAGCTCGGGTCCCCCAATATTGGAAAGGGGGCTCACCCAGGCACAGTGGGCACAAACCCACTAAGTGACGTGTAGGTGGACTCTAGCTCCGCAGGCTCGTTGCTTGGGCGATGTTTCCGTGAGAATGGCTCAGGTAGGCCTGGCTGCTCTGTGCCCCGATCCCCATCCTCCCCCTTCTCCCTCCTGGGTCTCAGTTTGTACTTTTGTCTCATTTCCTCTGGAGCCCAGGCAGGCCTACCCCCAGCTGCCGCCCTGCACCCTGGCTCACTTTTGCGAAGCCTTACCAGTGGGGCGGGGGAGGCGGCGCTCCCTCCTGTCCCACGGCTGCCTCTCCTTCCTGTCACCACCTTCCCTGTGCCCTCCTCAGGCCCTGACTTCTTCCTCGGGCTTCTGTGTCACACTGTCCGCATCTCCCCCAGGGATGGCGCCCACGACCTCAAACGGTCAGCCGGCTCTTTCACGCTCGCTCAGAGCGCGGTACAGACCTGCTGTGCCAGGAGTTCCCGTTTACGGAACACGTGGACCTCAGCGTTTGCTCTGACCGGGAGAGGAGGGCTGCGGTCTCCCCCAGCCCCGTGAGGTGCAGGCCCCACCTGTGGCTGCTGGAGATGGCCCCTCAGGGGCAGGCGGGCTCCTCCTCCTGCTCATCCACGCCCTCCGCCCACAGGCCCCAGGCAGCCTGATGCTGCAGGGCAGCCTCCAGCTTTTGGCCCCCATGCCTCCATGGACTGTTCTTTTTGAGCCCTTTAGCTCCTTCAAAACTGGGACAAAAAACACTCGCCCGCTTTGGGAGATTCCCATTGAAACAGTGCCCTGTACCCTACCCACCCTGTCAGCCGGTTGTCTTTCCTGACCTGTGTGCCTCTGCCCTCCAGGACAGCCTGCCCAGGGTGTGTGGCGGGAGGCAGTCAGAGGACAGAATCCTGGAAGTGGTCCCGCACTGCTCTTCTGGGGGACTAGCCCAGAAGAGCCTCCCATGCAGACCTCTGTCCATCGCCATTTGGGGCGCTCCTCTATGTTCCTAGCATATTCCATGGTTATGTCTTTATAGTGGGATGTTGGGGTGGCCAGAGCACGGGCCACTGTAAGTCTGCTTGGGCTGCACAGCCCACAGTAACCTGGGCCACCGCCAGCTATTATTTTTAGTGTCCCACACAAGAGGTGGGTGTGGCTTGTCTCTTTCAGGGAAGGGGCTGCTGATGTTCCTCTTGGCCGCCCTAGTGTCCAGTACAGGGTTTGGTAGAAACTAAGTGTTCAGAACAGAGGGAGTGGCTGAAGAAGGCTGTAATAATGAGGGCACAGTGTCCAGCCATCACCGGGAAAATCACAGCCAGTGGCTGAAAGCAGCAGGGCAAACGGGTTTATCTTTTCGATGGTAGAGTATGGATAGTAGCCTAGTGATCTTTCATTCTTAGTCTGCCTCTTAAATACCGTGGGTGTGGGTTCCCTGGCCTCACAGTTCCCGTTGAAAACCCTTGTCTTCCCGGCATGCAGCAGACAGAGGCGCAGACCCCTGGGGGTGGGTGTAGTCCTGGGCCGGCCGCAGAGGAAACCTGGGCATCTGTCCGTGTTCTTGCCCAGCGGCCCTGGCCTAGGAGGCTTAGGCGTAAATGCCTGAACTGCTGCTGGGTCCCCGGGCGCCTCAGGGCTGGGGAGTGATGATGGGTTTTGTCATATTTCTGAATAATTTAAAAGCAACTTCCATTTGTGGGGATTTGCTTTGAAGGTCGCACCATGTATTAGTGGTCAAGCAGGCCATATGTGTGTGAGTTTAAAAGGAGATCTGCAGCCTAGAAGATCAAGTTCACACCTTAAATAATTGAGTTCCAGGCTCGGTGGCTATGCCACAGCACCATTCCCTGGAGCCCTGCCTGCAGGGCCCATTGGCACAAAGACTCCGCCTCCTTCAGCACAGCCTCACCCTGGAATGCGGGATGAAGGGACAGGGGTGTGACATGTTCTGGAGGTCAGACATTTTTCCAGGGGTGGGATCATTCGAACCAGGGCCTCCCAGAAAGCTGAGAGGGGACCTCCTGGTCCCCTCTTTCTCGCTGAGCCTCAACCATTTGCTCTTCTACAGAATGAAACTAAGGGTGTCGGACTTGCCTGTCTCATGGGGTGTGGTGATGGTCACACTGGGCCATGCTGTAAAAATGAGGATTGGGACTGATACAGGGAAGGGTCATGTGTTTGCCTTTGTGTGACCCTAGGCCTTTCCTTCCTCTCTTGGAACTTAGTGAATAGCAATAGGCAGGTTCCTGTCTCCAAAGAACAAGATGATTTACAGGAGCTGGAGTGGACAAGTCCAGAAGCCCCCAGGGAGGTTCCTGGGCCCCCCAAAGAAAGAGCTGGAAGTTCTCCCCTTGCTGAACCCAAATTAAAAATATAGGCAGGAACCAGAAGTTACTCAAAGGGATGACTAGTCCCATGCTGTTATTTTTGTTTTAAATATACATAGGGCTGGAATGAACTTTTTTTCCCAACTTCCAATCTTTCCCTTGATCAAAGAAATGTTCAGATATTGCTGAAAAGACATGGAAAGCAGCTTGTGTTCAGAGTGGAGGGATCTGTAATAGAAGTTCAGCTTCGACGATTCCTGGCCTCTCCATGAGCGTTTCCAGAAACATGATACACACACAAGGCCTATCGCGACTTCCATGGGATAAGACCCACTCACAGAGGGGTTTTAGCAGGGGAATTCCCGGTGCCTGGATCAGCGTCAGGGTAGGGCTAATGGAGCAGCCATCGTATATTTTAATTATGGACAGAAGGTAACATTGTGATGGAATGGGTGAGTGCCAACATTTGGCAACTTCCTACATGAGTGCAAATGAGAGGCAGTTCTACCAGGGCTGTTACTTTTTTCAAGAATCACTTCCTTTGTGTGGCAGTGGGAAGGTCTCAGGAAGTCATCGTTCTTGGCACCGCTGGTGTTAATCTCCAGAATGAACCTGCATTCAGTCACTTAAAGTAATTTTGTTTTCCAAGTTAATTAATGGCATGATTCTTGATGTTTGACAATGAAATATAGCATAGGGATAGTGTGAGGCAGACTCACCCTTTTATTTAAGAGAGGTCTACTGCATTTCAATTTGGAGCCACCACCGTTATCTGAAAAGAAGGTGAGCAGACAGAGGGTTGGTGAGCTTCTCTGGGTTAGACATTTTTCCTGAGCATCAAATTTTAGTGTTCATGTGAATCACCCGAAGATCTTTTTAAAATACAGGAGATGATCCAGTAGGCTTGGGGTGGGACCTGAGACCCTGTCTTTGTAACAATCTCCCGGGTAAAACCTGTGAACCCCATTTTAAATTGCGTATGAGACAGAAGATGCTAGACACTGTGGGAAACCCTAGAAAATAAGTTTTATAAACTCCAGGGGGAACTGTAAATCCCTCAGGCCACTTACCTAGATATGCAAACACATCAACTTGAGTCAAGGATTTCATGGTCAATCCATACAGATCCACGGGTGCAGATACCAATGACAGTTTTGTCCTGCAGCTACGACTCCTGAGGATAAACAGATGTTTCAGGGATTACTTTATCTGGCCAGGTGATGTAAAAACGACTCCAATAATTAGATTTGTGTGTTCAGTTTCTTTGATACTCGTGCGAATGCTCTGGGGGTACACAGCCCAAGCTATGACAGGTTACACGGCAGGATGAAGACACATAGAAGTGCTCTCTGGGTTTGTCTTTTGTTCTTATTAACGTGCCCAGTGGGACTTCTTACTGAGGGTTGGTAGTTATTACAGTGTTTCAAGAACACTGTCTAAAATGAACAATGGGAAGATAAATATAAGTACCCTTCCTAATGCATCAGGTTTTAAAAAGAGGAATGTGAAAGAAGGCATCAGGAATGTAAAAAACAAGAGACAGGAAGTGGGTTGTAACCCTGAGTCTATCACTCCCTGTTCTGTAGTCTTGGGTGGAGCATTTCTCTATTTCCCAGGCTTCTGGGCTTGTGGAAAGTTCTGGGAGACTTTACACAATATAATGTTAAGACACCCAAGATAACCCTGTGTGATGAGTCTAGGTGGTGACATGACCACACCCTTTTTTTAAGAAGGATCCCTTATATCCCCATGCCAGTCAAGGAGACAGCCAGGCCTGTATTAAATGATTCTGCCCTCCCTGATAATAGCTGATTGTTCCAGAATGTAGACAGAGTCTGTCTGGGGTTCCTGTGGATAGACGCATGCTAAGGGCCTCAATCTAGAGCAGTGCTCTGCAGAACTTTCTCACGTGATGGGATGTTCTAGAGGTTGCACTGCCCAACATTGTAGGCACTAGCCACATGTGGCTACTGTGACTGAGGAACTGAATTTTTAATTTGACTTCATTATATTTATTTTAATTTAGTTTAAATATAAGAGCTAATGTCTATTATATTGGACAACATTGCTCTAAAGTCCAGTTTTATGGCCTTCAGCTTCTACTGAGGAAATCCCCAGAGCCTCTTTTATCTCCTTTGCCAAGTTTTGGCTGTTCAACTGTTACATCAATTTTGTGAGATACCCTAGGAACTCTTCAATAAATCCCCCAATTTATTTCCCCTAGCCAAAGGAGACTTAAGATAGTGTGTTAATTAAGAGCTTAACTACTGCTCTTTTGTGGAGGGATGTCTGTCCATCACAGTAAACTCAGACAGAGGTAGAGATGTTGGGCCTCTTTCTGCCCATGGGTTTTCCACTAATGTAGGGTTTGAAGAATTGGAATAACTCCTGAATACCCACCTAATACCCTGAGCAAACTACCTTATCAAGTCACAGGAAATTCTATATGAAATATGAAAGAATTCATGGCATGAGGAAGGTGACTTATTTATGCAACAGTTCCATGAAACTCAGAGCACTGGCCTGGGGAGCACATGTTCCACTCTTTCCCTGGGTGAGGCTATGTGGTCACTCTGAGCATCAATAGCCTCATGATTATAGGAAGCTTTCAAAGTAGAGTATTGCTAAGATCATTCTAGATTGTAAAAGGCTATAAACAGTGAGGCCTTGCCACTGTGGAATGCACTGCTGTTGAAGGCATATATGATAAAATCAGTGTGTTTTCCCCTTGGTCTAGAGGGCAGATGTGAACTTCACCTTGAAGCTGGACCAGATTTGCACAGGCGCTCACTCCATTAAATGTGTCCCAATTTGACATTTGTGGGCGCAGTCTGATTTTTGGTGACCTTGAGCCACTTCTCCATGCCATGAACTCTGATCCCCACCCCCAATAAACCTAATGGGGACTCTACAGTTTAAACACTGTAACCATGATCAAATCATCGCTCATACCATCCTCCTAAGGAGCTTCTGAGGCAGGCGTCGTTGTCTCACCATCAACAGGTCCTTCTCCATCTTTGCAAGTAGGGACAGGGCTCCTTTCCCGAGAGCAGAAGCCAGTTGATTCAGATCCCACAGTTAATGAGGAGGAGATAGAATTCAAAACCGGGTCTTCTGACTCTAAATCCAACACTTAATAGAGAAGAGGTCTGTAAAATTTTATGGAGACAGTTAACATATTTGTTAATACTTTGGAGAAAAAATGTGAAGCAAATTAAAGATTGCATTTTAAGAGATGAGAAGGGTGAGAGTGTCATTTTTGGGCCCTGCGTTAGGAGGTGTGGGCTTGGATAATGCCTACAGTATAAAAATAGACTGCCAGTTATGGTGGATTCTGGAGCAGGCCTTCCATGGAAGCAGGATTACGGTGGTTCTGTAATTATAGGCAATTCTTTTGGCACCTAGCTTGTTCTGTCGTTCTCAAAACAGCCCAGTGTGGTCAATACTATAATTCTTAGTTTTAATATGAACTTTGGATACAGAAAGGTGAAATGACTTGCCTAAGATCACAGAGGTAAAAGTTGGTCAAGCTATCTAAGTAATGATATTATGATTGGCTTCTTGTTAAGTATGAACCTTTGTTAAAGATTTACCTGAATGATCCATCTTTGTTTTACTGGTACCGCCTGAAGAGAAGGAGCCCGTGTCTTCACTGGGTATCTCACAGGACTTCAAGGCATCAATGTGATGGTGGCAACATCACAGGCCCGAGAAAGCCCAACGTGAGGGAGGCCTCAAAGGCATCCGCTTCTCCTAGATATTTCCTATCTGGTACGAACACTGAAGTGCCATGGCTTTTCTTAAACAGGGGAATGGGTAATTGCCCTCACACTCTCTCTGGATCATATCTGATAGAATGCAACTTATTTGTCTTTGTACTACACAACCAAGCTTGGAGCCAGACACAGGGGAATCTGTTGGACACATGAATCATTCTGACTCCTAATATTGCTAATAGATAAGCACACCCAGCCTGTTCTCTAGCCTTCCTCTCCTTTTAATCTCCTGTAGAGCACTATTTAGATATCACACGTATAGAATGCATGATTAACAAGTATCACATTACCTCATGAAAGGTTGCAGCCACATATTACAGGAACACTGTCACTTGAGCTATGTGGTGAAGGAAGAGCCTGTATTTGGACCAAAATGACATTCCCCCCAGAAGGTTCTGATCTATCAGAGGCCTTGTGGGAATTTTTAGAACAGGCCAAGTCAGGTGAACATATGTGAAACCCATGCTGAAGATACATGTGGGGGGACTCAGAGGTTAAGGTCAAGGACCTTACCACTCAGCAACAGGCTGTTTTGGAGATGGACAGCCACCTACTATGAAAGTGGGATTTCAGGCTTTCTAGATTAACCATGACTTTGTGGATGCCAGTGCTGCGGGTTACCCATAAGGCTTTGGTCCTGATTCACCTAACCTACTGTATGATCTACAAATGGATGGTTGTACTGGAGACTTTCTATTGATATCAAGGGCTGAGCTCACATGGCTCTTCTGTTTATAACTCATATTCTCCCAAGAGGGAGACGCAGTCAAAATGGGGGGTGACCAGGAATGTGGAGGAACTCAGATAAGGGCACATTAGCAAGGACTGGGAGTCATTGTGATGGTCAGCTAAGGGACAGGTGCTCGTGTGGAAGGAAAGAATTGGTTTTTAGGTGACTGTAGGGCTGATTATTTAATGATAATTCAGGTGTTCAGTTTGATACAAGATTTAATGGAAGGGATTGCATGGAGTGACAGTTTACCTAGACTGAGAGTGCCCTAAGGATAAGGGGACACTTCTTTCATAGTCTCCACGTATGGCACTGTGTCAACCACACCATCCACGACCAACTGTTTGTTGACATGAACTGAAGAAAGCCACTAACCTTATCAGATGAGAGATCTTTATAGGAATCAGAATCGTCTGAAAAGCATAAGGGCTTCCTGGGTTGGTTATAAGTCCTGTCACTAGATATTATCAGAGTCTGGGATAGTCACCTGTCAGGTGATCTGTCCATGTGAGACACACCTAGTAGGGAATGTTCTGAGATGCCACAGTGATATAAATATTGGTAACTAATGGCCTGGCTGGGCATGGCTCAGTGGCTGAGAGTCGACCTAGGATCCGGGTGCCCAAGGTTCGATTCCCGGTCAGGGCACACACCTGGGTTGCGGGCTAGATCCCCAGTCGAGGGCATGCAGGAGGCAGCCGATCAATGACTCTCTCATCATTGATGTTTCTATCTCTCTCTCCCTTCTCTGACATCAATAAAGATATATTTAAAAAAAAATATTGGTAACTAATGGACACATCAAAGTATATATATCATTAATTTATACATCATTCTTTGGAGCTGAAGTAGGTTTGGGGTTTGTGTGGGAGGAGAATTAGCTGGGGAGGGGTCCAGGTCCCTGATTAAACATGCATCTTTATAACTGGCTGGTTCTAATGTTGCCCAGAGACCTAATATCTTTCCCCCAGAACCTGTTTGGCTGTCCTGCCAAGGTCTTAGTGGGTTATCTTTTGCTGAGTCTGGTGGGATGGAGAGTAACTTCCAACAAAACATATTAGTTATCGTTTACTCTATTATCAGGTTTTACCCCATCCTTAAATCAAGAGCTTGACAGATATCTACTTACAATGCATGCATGTATCCATCCTTCCATCTCGCTCTCATTCCTGGAAAGTGCACTATAGTGAGCTTCAGGTGAGCTGCCATGAGCTTCCATGTGACCATGGCCAAGTCAGGTAACCTCTGTAAAGGGAAGGATCCGTTGAGTTTCCTCCTAGAGTCCCTTCCTTTTCTAAGGCATCACTGACACAGGGTGCACCATGAGCACTGTGCAGGATAAATAAAGAGAAAAGACCAATTTCTTTATTTCAGGGAACTTTGGATCTAGATTTGGAGGGTCACACAAGTGAGAACGCAGAGCAATAACCAAGAAGACTACATGACTGTGTAGAATATGTCTGTATTGAAAGAAAAGAGGCGGCAGTAGGGTCTATTAGGGGTTAGTAGAGGGGGAAATCCAGGGAAGACTTCCTGGAAACACTGGGTAGAAAGCTAGGTTTTTATGTTTAAGAACTAAACTGATGGAAACAAGCAAAAGCAGCAGAAGGGCTTCCCATTTCAGGTGAAGAGCTAACTAGGTATTTTGTTTTATATGGTGACTTATGAGCCTGGATACTGGACAAGGGCATAGGGCCTCCCAATGAATGAGTGTAATAGGGAGCCTTTGCAGGTTGAACAGGGCAATGCCTTAGAAATAGCTTTTTTGGGGAAAAATAGTCTGGCAGCTTGGAGGAACACAGCTGATTGCACAAGACAGAGTTAGAAGGCAGAGAAACTTAGACAGAAATGTCTTATTCCAAGTTGGCTATTTTTCTACTGGAAAAAAAAAGAAAAAACCCCAAAAACAAACTCTAAGCTTCCAATGAACTGCCTTTTATTATGACACAAAAGCCATAAAAGCAGTGATGTATATAAACGCAGGGCAGGATGTTTTCAGTGGCTTTATGAAATAAAAACAGCGGCAGATAGTTAAAACTGGAATGTCCCGCATCAGGCTATAGCCATCTGAGTTTGGGAACTTATAGCAGCAATGCAATCATATTTTTATAGCCCTAGCTCAGTCCTTTCACTCCGAAAACTGAACTACGAGCAGTAGAAAGGGGAAAACCAGCAAATCAATGCCATTAAATAGCAAAGGATGAGAGTCTTTGAATTCCAACAGCCATAGCAGTTACCAGGTTGATAAAAAAAATTGTTATTTCCCCAAATCTGAAATATTTACACTGTGAATAAGGGTAAGATTGATACTTGGGAGATCAGGCTCCGTAATAAAATAATATGATTGGGAGGAAGCAGTCATACTAGACATAGGGTTTGAGATGGGAACATGCAGGTAGCATGACTGCACAAACTGAGCGGTTACACAGGACTACTGGACAAATACCTGTAAGATCTCGGTCATCAGGCTGTGGCCCACCTGCCTTCCCGTGAACTATACAGCTGGTGTCGGGTCCAGACAGACCTGCACCAGATTCAGCTCCACTGCTCATGAGCTTGACTTCTCCGTCTCTGTCAGTCAGTAAATGGGATTGGCACACCTCACAGTACTGGCATAACACTAAACTAGATGCTATAAAGTGCCAGCGTGGGGCTGGGCCTCAGGTCAGGTCCTTTCCTTGGCTTCCAAGTAAGGCCTGTGGGAGTTCAGACCAAGGGCTGCTGGTGAGTGAACTGGAGCTAACCCGGCCAAGGCTGCCTGCCTGTGGTGCATGTTGCTGTCAGTGGTGGTTTGGGATTCATGCTCTGCACCCCTTCAGAGTCTCTAGACCCATATCGAGTTAGTCTAGAAAACACATCCTAAATCATTTCTGGAGATTTCCTTTCCCTGTATGTTTCCAAAAGGCTCACAGCTTCTTTCATGGAAGACTAGAGTGCTTCCAGTTTCTGAAGGACACGTTGCCAAGAAAACCACCCCAGCTGCCTCTGGAAAGGCTCCGAAATACCACGTCTCACCTGCTCATGGGACATGGGACATGGGCCTCCTAAGGAGGGTGACCAGATAAAATGCACAATGACCAGTTAAAAATATTTCTGATTTATCTTAAATGAAAACTTAAGTACAAGTAATATTTGGTGTGTACTTATACTAAAATAGTGTTTGTCTGAAATCCAAGTTGAACTGGGTATCATGTATATTTTTATTTGCTCTATCTGATAACCCTATGGCTATGGCCCAGGGAGCCCAGTGGTATCCATTATCAGTTTGGAAATCAGAGATCTGGGAGTTCAAATCCTCATTCAGTTTCTTATTGGTGGTATAACCTTCCACTTTAACCAGGATAATTACAGAAGAAGACCCTCCTCTTGGAGTTACTGAAAAGATAAAGTGAAATACAGTGGCACCTCGGTTTTCAAATGTGATCTGTTCTGGGAGACCATTCAAGTTCTGAAATGTTCAAAAACCGAAGGATCCACAGCTGATAGCTGGGCCTCAGGATCTTGCCCTCAGCAGAAGCCATGTGGCATGTTTGAAAACCGAGGTACCACTGTAATAGTGGCCAGTATGACTGGTGTACCTCCCTGTGCATAAGTGAAGTGCCACATCTGATAAAGTAACTCTCCGGGCTGTTTAAAA